ATATCTGCAGTGAGGAGAATCCACGACCTCTCTGGGCAATCTGTTCAGTGCTCAGGGACTGCACAGCAAAGAAGTTCTTCCTCCTGTTCAGGTGGAACTTCCTGGGCATCAGTTTGTGCTGTTCCCTCTTGTTTGATTGGTTTCCCCACTGAGCAGAGTCTGATCATCCTCTTGGCACCTCCTGTTCATGGACTTGAATCCATTCCTGAGGTCCCTCTGAGTTGTCTCTTCTGGAGGCTGAACAGCCCCAACTCCCTCAGCCTTTGCTCATCCCTGAGGTGCTCCAGTGCCTTCAGCATCTTCCTTGCCCTGCCCTGGACCTGCTCTCCAGCAGGTCAGTGCCAACCTGTGCTGGTGTTTTGGGCTGTTCCTCCCCAGGGACAGGACCTGTACTTGCCCTTGTTGAGTCTCAGTGGATTCTGCTCTGCACATCCCTCCAACCTGCCAAGGTCAAGTCATGTTCCTTCTCAGGCTGGTGTGTGTAAATCAGGTTGTGTGTTAACCCTCTGGCACTTTCTTGAGGCAGAACATATTGACTTCCCCTGGACTGGACTTTTCTTCAGAGTGTTACTCTGAACACTCTTCAGAGTGACATTCCTCTTCCCACCATGGCTATAATGATTTGAATGCCTCATGTTCCTAACCAGGAGGGAAGACATGGATTTTGGGGCAGAATTCTAGTTTCATTTGTTCTGTGTTTCTCCTCTCAAGACAAGGTGATACATAAGGTACCGTGAGTGGTCCTGGGACCATGCACTGATCTCTGTATGGTCCTTCCCAGGTGACAGTTGTAACTGCTAGGCTGGGGACACTTTGCCTTTCTCTGCTGTTGTTGTGCCCTGAGTTCTGCACTGCTTTGCCTGGTAGCTCTCAGCTCCCTTAACGAGTGGTTTTGGTCCCTTTTTGCTGCAGTACTTCCGACACCTCCTGAGAGGAGCAGAGTCGCCAACTCGCAACTCCAAGTTTAACAGGTAGGTGAGCTGCAACTGCAAAGTGCTTTTCTTTGGTTGTTAGCTAAAAGCATCGAAATCCTAAGTGATGGGAGTTTTGCTCCTGCCTGGTGTTAACTGGACTAGATTTTTAGCTCTACTTTGTTTTTAAGTAAACAAACTAGAGACTAAAGGAGCAGGGAACATTATCCAAGATGGGTCTTGATGTTGAAGTTTATATTAGAGTTTAATATGTTTATATTAGAGTTTCAAATGGGATTTAGACCTCAGCATTGAGAAGAGGGAAGGGAAAAGTACTTGTTCAGTGTAAGGTAATGTGGCAATCAAGTGGTGATTTAATTGGCTGTGTATATATATCTGCAGTGAGGAGAATCCACGACCTCTCTGGGCAATCTGTTCAGTGCTCAGGGACTGCACAGCAAAGAAGTTCTTCCTCCTGTTCAGGTGGAACTTCCTGGGCATCAGTTTGTGCTGTTCCCTCTTGTTTGATTGGTTTCCCCACTGAGCAGAGTCTGATCATCCTCTTGGAGTTTGGAGTTCTTGTCCATGCAGGGCTGGAGCTTTGCTGGAGCTTTCTCTTGTTTCCTAGCAGAGAGGTGTGGAACAAAGGCAGCTGGGCCAAGCTGCATTTCTTCCCTGCGTGCTGCTCCACTGGGAGTGGTGACCTTAAAACACCTCCAGCTTCTGTTTAACCTGGCTGCAGTTTCAGCTGGACCTTTAAATCTGTCTTCTGGGAGCTTTCCCAGTAGTGGCTTTTACTCTCTAATAGAGGTACACCCAGGGCTGAGGTGTGTGCAGAATTACCTCCCACAAGCCTTTCCCCTGTGCTGGCCAAATTCTCTGGATCCCTGCCTGGCTCTGGGACACAGCAAACCTGAGCTGCCTGTTGGGCACTGCAGGTGACTCCAGGGATGGAGGGTGCTCTCCATGACTTGGCAGCTGCTTGTGCTGATGTCAGTGGAGACCTGACAGTTTCCATGGCTGAGGTCTTCTATTCAAGCTTGGCTCTGGTGCTGAAATGTGCAGGTGCTGTTGCTGTTTCACGTGGGCTCTGAGGTCAGGAACTTGCCACCGGTGGTTAATCCCTGCTGGGCTGTGCTGGGACAGGTCTGTCCCACGTGGTTTGGGGTTGGTTTGTTGGGTTTTTTTGATTTTGAGCTGATTTTCTGCTGGGCTCTGAGGTAACCTGTGTGCCTGTTGTTGCAGAAGTAGCCTGAGTTTGGATGACTTACGGTAAGTGTGTCTGACACCCAATACATGTCAAGTGTCTCATGACTTCATCACACACCTATTAACAGTATATTGTGTATATATTTTGTGACAGTAATTTACTGCCCATTTTCTGTTCAAACAAAGTGTGAATGTCTTCTCTGGACTCACGTGCATTTCTGCCCACAGTAAGCTTTATCCTTCTCACAGGTGTCTAGAAATGACTCAGGTACTAATCTCACCACTTTGCAGCACATTAACTTCATTTGCTGTTAACAGTTTGTCTTTTGTCATTTGTTTGGAAATACATTGGCAGAACTTGAGGCTTTTTTTTGTGGCCTCCAAAATTTCCTTTACACCATGTCATGTTCCTGACTCTGTCTGAGGTTTCACCCACTCAGGTGCTTGTTGGACCTGGCACAGCTGTGCCCAGGGGACATTGTCTAACCCTGCACAAAGAGAGAACCATTTGGTGATGGTGATCAGTCACTCAGAGCCCACAGTTCCCCAAACTGCTTCTCTCTCCAGCTTCTCCTGTGCCTCTTACAGGTTTGACTGCAATGTATTATCTGCTCTGGGTACTCTGTGGCCACTCCTTGGTGCCTTAATAGCTGCTCAGTGGTTTGTGCCTCAAATACATCCAAATGTGTGTTCCTACCCAAACTCAGCCAAGACTCTTCTTTATGGTCTTTTGCTTAGAATGTGTCAGAGCATCAGGGTTACACAGATTACTCATACCAGCCTTGAGAGGAACTTAGCAGCTTCACCTCTCAGGTTAGGAATCAGGGGATACAGGTGCTTTTGGTATTTTATGTGCCAGTGCAGAGTGTGGAGTTACAGCTTAGTAGATTGTTGAGCAGTGAGGAGGACCTGAAATACAAATGCAGCTCATTGCTTTTTCATGCACAGCTCTGTGTGCTCAGCATTTCTCTAAGTGGGTGGAGAGGCTGAGTCAGCCAAAAGGAGATCACAGAACCACCAGGGTTGGAGGAGATCTCTAGGATCATCGAGTCCAGCCAGTGCCTCAATGGCCTTTGGGCAGTGAGTGCCCAAAGCTGAGCACAGCACTGAGCTGGGACCTCCCCAGTGCCCAGTGCAGGGGGATGACACTGCCCTAGTGCTGCTGCCACACTCTGCTGAGCCAGGACAAGGTGCCCTTGGCCTCCTTGGCCACCTGTGCACACTGTTGGCTCCCCCTGAGCTGTGCCCCCGGCACTGCCAAGGCCCTTTGGGACCAACACCTCTGTCCCCACTGCTCCCCCAGCCTGGAGCTGCATGGGCTGTTGTGTGCCAAGGGCAGCACCAGCTCTGAGCCTCACTGACCCTCTTGCAATTATTATGCATGAAATAACCTCAGACTGATTCCATATTCAACAGAAACATTTTCCTTTCCAGGTTTAGCTGCATTTCCACACAAGAAATAATCTTTGGTGTCCAGGTTTGTGTAAGGGCATAAGAAAGTCACTAAATCTCCTCTCTGTCAGGGCTGTGCTTCCTGCCCAGTTAGCTTTCTCTTCCCCTACCTTGTTTATTGCTTTTTGGATGCTTTGCCATATGTGGCAAGAGCTCCAACTCTTCATCTTTCTGTCAGTCTCTTCCCGCCAAGATTTTGCAGTTGCATCTGTTTTCTCTCTTGGTCCTTGCACATTCCTCTTGTCTGTCACTGTGGCTTAAAAATCAAGAGCTGCCTTGAATGATCCGTGCTTGCAAAATTCCATTTAGAAATGCATCTAACAGCATTTAAAGTGCTTGGCAGGAGTGGATAAATATTTGAGTCCCTGGAAAAGGACAGAGCCAGTGACCTTGCTGTGCTGCCTGTGGTAATCCCACAGCTCCTGCTGGCAAAACAAGGTTGTTTTACCTTCCTAAGTGTCTACTCTCTGTCCTCAATGTCTAGGATACTATTTTAGGAGCTTACTCATGGTTGAGTGTATGGGAATCCCATGTGGCTTCCAAGTGTAATCAAGACATTTTGTTGATCCATCAGAGAACAGATGTGCCCAGAGTGAATTTCAGTTTAAGAGGAATGTAAATGTCTTAGCTGTTTGTTTATCGAGTTGTTTCTGTTCTCTGCAAATGTTGTGCAATGGCCTAATCACAGAACCATAGAACCATCAGGGCTGGAGGAGATCTCTGTGATCGAGTACAACCATTAACTGTTCCTGCTGGAACCCCCAAACCCTAACCCAGATCCTGCAGTGCCACATCAGACACCTCTGAAACACCTCCAGGGATGGTGACTGCACCACCTCCCTGGGCAATATCCCAGGGCCTCAACACCACAGCAGGGAAAACATTTCTCCTCACATCCAATCTGACTCTGCCCTGGCTCAGCTCAAGGCCATTCCCTCTCTCCTCTCCCTCAGCCCTGGCAGGACACACATCCCACCCCTCTCTCCAGCCCTGGCAGGAGTTGCAGAGAGCCAGGAGGGCACCCCTGAGCCTCTTCTCCAGGCTGACCAACCCAACTCCCTCAGCCCTTCCTCATGTGACATCTGTTCTGGACCGAATGAGCAGCTGTGTCGTAATCTGCCTTGTGTTGTGAACTGTGGCTCATCTAATCCTCCTAGGACCACACAGAAGAGAGGAGAATCCTTCGGAATCAGCAAAATAGGCAACAAAATAAAAGGTGTGTTCAAGAGTTCAGCCATGGAAGGAGCCATGTTGCCTAACTATAACCTAAACGAAGGAGAAGATGACTTTGTGAGTAGAATCTTTGCATTTGGCTTAGAGTCTGTTGGTTTGGGGGTTGTTTGCTTTTGTTACTTTCTTGTTTGAGATACTGAAGGTGCATAGAATCATAGAAAAGAATCAGAACCATCAGGATTGGAGGAGATCTCTGAGGTCATCTAGTCCAACCATTAACTGTCACTGCTGGAACCCCCAAACCCTAACCCAGATCCTCCAGTGCCACATCAGACACCTCTGAAACACCTCCAGGGATGGTGACTGCACCCCCTGTGTTGGAGCCCCTGTAGGCACTGGAAGAAGCTCTAAGATCTCCCTAGAACCTTCTCTTCTCCAGGCAGAACACTCCCAGCCTGCCTTCACCACAAGGGTTCTCCAGCCTCTGGACTTGCTCCAGCAGCTCCACTTCCTTCTTATTTTGGGATCCCTGAGCTGCAGGCAGCTCTGCAGGTGGGATCTCACCTGAGCATCCCAGAGGAGATCCTGTAGGCACAGAGCTCCAGGGCTGGGTCCCTGCTCTGAAGATGCTCAGTTGTCACCCTGATGTGAACACGTGTTGGATTGCTTTATCCCTGGATTCTTTGATGCCCTGTGTTGTGTTCCAGGTGGTGGAAATGCCAGCAGTCCTGGGATTGAGAGGATGGCACTTGGCTCAGGAATAGCAAGAATCCTTCCTGGGATGGGGTGTGGGATGGAGAGAGGCTCAGAGAGGGACAGGATGGGGCTGGTCCCAGTGCCTGGGCACCCTAGCAGGGAAAACATGTCTCCTGTGCTCCATGTTTGTGTCTCCCAGATTGAGGAGGGAGTTATGGTGATGGAGGATGACTCCCCTGAGGAGGCAGTGACCACCCCGAACACCCCACGCAACCTGTCTGCCTGGAACATCAGCATCCCTTACGTGGACTTCTTTGAGGATCCGTCCCTGGAGAGGAGGGACAGGAAGGAGAGGATTCCTGTGTTCTGCATCGACGTGGAGAGGAATGACCGACAGGCAGGTGGGCAGTGCTGTGCCTGAGTGAGGTGTCTCCACGTTTCACTGCTGTGTCCTGGTGCCTGTTGCAGTGTCCTGGGCCAATATGTTCCTCAGCTTGCCAAGGAGTGGCTCGAAAGCTCGAGAGCCAAGTCATCAGCTTTAGTGCTTGCAGCTGCAGAACTGACTCCTCAGCAGCAATCCCTCCTAGTCAGGCTCTGTGCCAGGTTTGAGATAACTCTCTTCCCAAAGGAATTTGTGGCACAGTTCATACTAGTAGACACCTGGCAGATGTTTGGTTCACCCACTCTGAACCTGGGAAAAACGAGCAATAAATAACTTCTCATAGAGACTTAAAATTCAGTCCTCAGGAAGTGAAAGTGTTTTGTTGCAGGGAGTTAGTCAGCACCAGGTCAGCAGTGCATCCATGTGGTGTGGGGCAAAGAGCATCGTCCTGAGGCTGAGTGGGCTTGGGGTGGTGGAACTGGGACTTCCCAACGGCCAGGAGGGCTCTAAGAGTTGGTCAGTGCTGCATTCCAGGAGTGGGAATGACTGATGGGACAGAGCTCTGTGTTCAGCAGTGACAGCTCAGCACTGACAGCCCTGTCAGTCAGAATGGGAAGAGGATCTGACACACTCCTAACAGATGTTGAGTTGTGCAGCAGTGCATGGCTTAGATTTTTGGCTCCCTGAGATGAGGTTAGCAGTTCCTTGCTGCTCCTGTGCCTGTGTCCCAGGGAGGCACTCGAGTTCAGCACTGTACGTAGCTGGCTGGGATTTGTTGCTGCAGTGTGGGGACTGATGGCAGGGAGATTTTCCTGTAGTAACCCACCATATGTTTGCTGCTTTGTCTCTCAGGGGGCACAAAACCTGGCTTATTTTTACCTGCTTTTTTTCCCCAGTGGGGCATGAACCTGAACACTGGTCTGTCTACAGGAGGTATCTGGAATTCTATGTGCTCGAGTCGAAGCTGACAGAATTTCATGGTAAGTTCTCCATCAGCTGGAACCAGAGAATCACAGAACCATCAGGGCTGGAGGAGATCTCTAAGGTCACTGAGGCCAACTATTAACCTGTCACTGCTGGAACCCCCAAACCCTAACCCAGATCCTGCAGTGCCACATCAGACACCTCTGAAACACCTCCAGGGATGGTGACTGCACCACCTCCCTGGGCAATATCCCAGGGCCTCAACACCACAACAGGCAAAACATTTCTCCTCACATCCAATCTGACTCTGCCCTGGCTCAGCTCAAGGCCATTCCCTCTCTCCTCTCCCTCAGCCCTGGCAGGACACACATCCCACACCTCTCTCCAGCCCTGGCAGGAGTTGCAGAGAGCCAGGAGGTCACCCCTGAGCCTCTTCTCCAGGCTGAGCAACCCAACTCCCTCAGCCCTTGCCCATGTGCTCTGCCCTTTGCTGCCCTCGTTGCCCTTGGCTGGACTCGCTCAGTGCCTCAATGGCCTTTGGGCAGTGAGTGCCCAAAGCTGAGCACAGCACTGAGCTGGGACCTCCCCAGTGCCCAGTGCAGGGGGATGACACTGCCCTAGTGCTGCTGCCACACTCTGCTCTACAGGTCTCTGAGAACTGGAAAGTCACTTTCCCCCTGCTGTGACATGAGTCATTTCTGAGCTGAACTTCAAAGCAATGAAACCAATGTTTGCTGCATCACAAGAACCATTTGATCTCCTCCATATCTTTAGGTACATTTCCTGATGCTCAGCTGCCCTCCAAGAGAATCATTGGCCCCAAGAATTATGAGTTCTTGAAATCCAAGCGAGAAGAGTTTCAGGAGTATCTGCAGGTATCCAACAAATGTTTGGGGCAAGGAATATTCTAAAACTGCTGATAGAGAATCACAGGGTTGGAAGAGACCTGTAAGATTATCAGGTCCAACACTACCAACTACACAACTATATATAAACCTTTCTTTCCTTCTGTCTCAAAGAAACTTCTGCAGCATCCAGAGCTGAGTAACAGCCAACTTTTAGCTGATTTCCTGTCCCCCAATGGAGGAGAGACTCAGTTTCTTGACAAGATGCTGCCTGATGTCAATCTTGGTATGTGTCATGCTGCTT